GGAGAGAGAGAGAGAACGGAACAAGGGATTCTTTGTGGAGATCGAGGAGGCATGAGCGTCGGGCTAATCCTTCGTCCTCCTCAGGTGAAACTCGCTTTCGGCGACGAGGCCCGTTTCCCACGGTACGCCAGGTAACCCGGAGCGTTTTCCCCGTAATGTGGGTCTCCACGATACATCTCTCCCATCCCCTTCCCGCTCCCTCCACTCTCCTTCTTCGCCCCTCTTTTTTCTTTCTTTCTTCGTCCTTCCCTCTACTGTTCTTCGATCCTCCTCCTTCGATCCGGCATTCTTATCTTTCTGCCTCGGAATCGTTCGGCGCTTATGGCGATGGGACTCGAAACGCTTGGAAGTATAGGGTGTTAATAGATTCGAAGGGTTGATTCGAAGATAAATATAATTGGTTCGGTACACACAAAAATTGTTGGTTAAAGTTTTGGATAAACGGGGATACGCGAGGGAGGAAATCTGTCTCGAGGTTATTGATATTTTTGCGCTTGTTTTCATCGAAATCGAAAAATTCGGATTATTTTGAAAATGATTCGAAAGATAAGTTAAAAAGGATCGAACCTTTCTCGTGATTATAACTCCCAGAAAGAAATAATCGTAATTTCTTGCAGCTATGGCAGGAAAAGAAGTGGGAAGAAAGCGGATCGCGGAGAAAAACACGCCAATCAAAGTCGGTGATGCGTTCGCGAATGGAATGCTAATAAGACGAATCGACGAGAATAGGCGAATAGGAGAGAAGGTTCGAAACTGGCGAGAGTTTGGAAGAAGAACCCCAGTTCCGAACGCTGCTCCCTCTAGCATTACAACGATTCTTTGGATAATAAAGACGCTTTCCAAACACGTGGTTTACGCGGAGAGAAATATTTGTAGGATCTGGTGTATAACAGATACGTGTGTGCACCACGAGATTCGATTGGGTGGCGAGCAACTTTCCACGTGGATGGATTGTTATATAAGTATTACGTGTGTGAGTTGTGAGTGTTATTTGTAGGATAAGCTAGAATTTTATTATGATTGCTCGGTGAAAAGAATGAAGATTCAAGATTGTGTAAATGATGGAAAAGTGTACGTAATTTGTATTTTAATTTTTAAAATTTGTAATGAAAAAAATTTCTTCATCATTCTCGCCAGATAAAAAAATTAATTCGCCGTATCTACCGTGGAGTTCGACGTAATTGCAAATGAAATAAGTATAAGAGATGAGTTATAATTTTTTATGAATTGAATTATTTTAAAATTCGAGGATAACTTATCGAAAAGGATGAACAAAAGAGATTGCGCAAAAGAGATTCGAATGCGATGCTTTGACGTTTAAATTGTTCGAGAGAAAACGAAATGTTTCATTGTGTATTTTATTGATTCCGGCTAAACATTACACTTGTGTTAAAAGTGAAATCGACAATCCGAAGAGTTTACGTATTATGTATTATTCTAAGATCTTCAAACCTGTTCCTTTTCTCTTTTTCTTCCTTTCTTTTTTTTTTTTTTCACAAAAAAGACTGTTTATCAAAATTGTTCTTGAATTTTTACTTTTTAAAACTAATAGTGGTAAACTATTTCCATTAATTGAATTGTCACACAAACAAATATATTTTAACGATGAAAGAAGTTTAATGGACAGCAATAAAATAGGATAAAAATAATTTTAAAAAAATTCAGAAAACCTTAGAAATTCTTGAAAAAATTCGAATCCAAAAATATATTAAATTAATATTAAATTTTTTATACCGATAAAAATTCTAAGAAATGATTTATTGTTTATTTAAAATTCTAATTTACTTCAGTTATTTTATGTAAATATAATTACTGTATAAAATAATATTCAGGTTTAATTGGATTCAATTTATCTTACCGAGGTATGGATTTATATATCTTTCAAATGTTTCACGTACATTTAATTTAGTTTTTATTAAATCAATCCTCGATGCACTATAACAGAAGAGGGAATGATTTTGTGGGATGAAAAAATAATTGACGTTTCGTGTATAACGAAACACAATGGTGAATTCTAATTGAAGTCTATCGCGCAGAAGTAATGAATTCTTTTAAATCGAATAGACGAGATTTCGAACGAGAAATGAGAAAATATTTCTTCCCGGATAATAATTATTTTTATTTTAATTAATTAGATCATAATTGGTGATTCAAAAAATCATTAAGAAGAATTTAATGATTTTTCTACCGTAATTTCTGAATTGAATTGAATTTCATTTTTATTTCATATATTCAAACTTTGAAAAAAATATTATAGAACATGAAATTAGAAAATAAAATTGTAATATTTTGTAATCATTATACCGTAACTATTAAATTATTCTATGATAAAATATTCTACGAAGAAAATGAAGTTTTATGTATTCTTTTCCTATATTTATTTCAAAATAATAAAAAAAAAAAACTATAGTCAAAAAAATAATTCGCGTAAAGAATCACGAGAATCGGAGAAACATTAAAGATATCAAAATTTCTGCCCGCCAAATAAAAATTCAATCAATCTTTGTTACCATATTATCTAATTTATCTTATTTACCTAGGAAAAGTCCACTTTTCCTAACACACTATCTCATCGCCAAAATACAGATCAACGGTTAACGCTCGACTTTACGACGCGATGTTATTAAAGCTTCCTCTCGATAAAGAATAACCGTGCACTAAATACAACTGAAGCGATACTTAACTTCAAAGTTATTCGATCCGATGAACGAATACAGGATATCTACACAACATTTATGTGTAACATAAAGTATCGGTTATCATTCGGCTCAAATCAAATATTTCGATATCGGTCAGAATGAATGGATGTTTCGCGGTTGAATGAACCTCAAAATTATCTTATAACCGATTCACTTTCGATTTAAATATCTTCCGCGAGTTTCGAGAATTCAGCGAATATTTATTTCTTATATTTTCCAGATAAAAATAATAAATTTTATAATGAATATTCGAATAGATGATTGACAAAAGATTATTGCATACATCAAACACGAGAATAAAACAAAAAATCGTAAAATAAAAATTAGTTTTCGAATATTTGTTGATTATAAAGAAAAAAGAAATGTATTTATAAATTATAAAAGTATAAATAATACTCGATTTTTTTTTTTAACATTAAAAATTCTTATTAATCCTCTCGATAGGATATTCAAAAATTCTTTTCATTCAATTCTTCAAAATTAATATCTGTCGTATTCTAAAAGGTTTAACCTTTTATACACCGACATTCAACCGCCTTCAATCTCGCACAACGAGCCGCTTGTGCGTTGCATCGATAAGGCGGTGAGCGGAAATGCAGAAGCGAGCGAAGGTATAAGCAAGTGGGTAGGTACTCACGGACTGGTACTTTCTTCGGGTCGACGGTGGCGAGACGTTCCTCGACCTTGTCTATCCTTTGGCGCAGATTGCTGCTCCGATCGGCAACAGCGGTCAACTCGGTAGTCAGTTCCGCAAAGATGTCCTCGGCGATGGTGAGGAGCGAGGCGAGTTGCTTCAACGAGGTGGTCAGCGCACCGTTCGCCACCGCCTCCAATTCGGCACCCACTGGCCAACCCTGGGCTGTCGATCCCGCTGGCACGTGTCCGCGACACAAGAAACGCGGCTCCACTCTGCGTAGCACGAACGGCATGATTTCGATCAAACGAAATCAACCGACACATTCACACATAACACTAGAACCGAAAGAACAGGATTTGAAAACACTGCCGTCTCGAAGAGCGAGACACCACCGGTCAACCGTCACAAGTTCGCGACGCTTATAAAACGATCGTTCCCGCCAGTGATCCAACCGAGAGAGGGACATCTGGCGGTTATGAAAAACGAGAGTCTTTCCGATGAATGTTGCGGCTCCATTTTCCGATATTTTATTACGTTAAATTCTCTTGTACAGGCACTTTAACACTTAATTGACAATAACACACTGTTCTTCCATTCACTTCCGAATCATCGTTCGAATCTCTTTTTTCCGAATCGCATTCTTTGGATAAACGATACGACTCCTTGGCGAATTAACGCGAGTTTTATTTGAACGAGAACCGTGGAAATGAATCGTTTTCAAATAGCACTATCGATGTACGTTTTCGAGCAAAGTTTTGATTAGGAGTGTCATACCGCTAGGAGATCCTTGTGAAAGAAAAGAACGACGAACAACACGTCCGTACGACGCGACGACGATACACGAAGTGCCGGCCGGTCTGCCGCCGTGTCGCCGACCGTTCTTTGGTACACTCCCATTCATTTCGAACACGCCGATGGCGCCTTTTGCGACGCTTCGTACCAGCCATCTTCAGTCATTTTGTTATACTAACGAGATATAACGGGCGAGATCGATAATATAGTTTTAAAAAATTTTTTTATCGATATATGATAATGTAATCCACGGAAAATAATGATTTTTTTTTAAATAAACAAATCACTTATAATTCTAAATTTAAAACTTGAATCAAAACTTTCGATTTACTTTAAATTTAAATAAATTAAACTAACCATAAAATAAATTTTAACACGAATTATCGTGTTATCGAATGAGAAAAGATCAGGTCGGTTACAAAGTACAGAATAAACACGACATCTTACGGAATTCTATCTCTTTGTTCTGAAATACCGACTTCGAAAAAAGCAGTGTTTCTTATTATAATCAATGTAAAAATTATATTCGTTTTATCTTCAAAAAAAGATCTATATATATATATATATATATATATATATATATATATATGTTATAGTAAAA